ACGGTATGAGTTAAGTGCAACACGTTCACCATCTTTATGTGTTAAATCATTGATCATTGCTCTAATTGAAATATAAATTCTACTTTATTTCTTCGATATGAATTTAATGCTTACAAATGTGTAATTTGTGAACATGCCCAACCAAATTGAAAAATAATAATAAACAGTGCATAATAAATAAATTGTACCCATAAATGACTATCTTTACATCCAATACATAAATTAAAACAAAACGGAAAAGAAATAAGTACACAAATAACACCAATAAGATGCCAAGTTTTTCGTCTTCCATAATGGCATAGACCAGTTCGTGTACGATCAGATCCCCAACCGACAAATACTGTTGATATAGCATCAGCTATCTGTCCAATGAAAAGTAAATAACCCGCAGATGCATTTGAAAAATTCACAACACGATAATAAAATATAATTAGGTATGACAACCACATTGATCCAGTCAGATCATTTAGAACATGGCCAACACTATAAGCAAACACAGATCTTTTTGAAAGCGTATCCGATTCTAAGAGACTTTCTTCCATGATCATCTATAAATCTATGAATTAAATAAATCAGAAATAAAGAAAATCATGAAACTCTTTATATTATTGACAATAAGAAAACTACAAAATAAATTAACATAATAACAAAAAAGTCAAAAATTAGAAATGAATGCGTTACAACCATGACCGCTTTTTTTTTCAAGACACTGTAGATTTTAACCAATTCCCGAATTTTTGTATTTTAACAGTTGATATAATTTTCAAGTATGCATCATTAAAATGAACGGATCAGCAAACGTTTATACAAGTTAATAAAATAACTGGATAAAGACGCAAAAATTTGGACATTTGGAAAGATATGTAAAAGTGTTCCAAGAAAATATTTTAACAACTGTGTAATGGTATCTATTTACTAGATTGCCAAGTAAAAGCTATTGAAACTCCTAAGGATACCGTTGCATAAGATGATAAATCTGCCATCCCCTTAGGTTACAATTTCAAAAGATTAGAAAGACAGAGCATGAAATTCTGCACATGATCTTTGATGTTTTCGTTGAATGCAAAATAATTTCGGAGAACTGAATAGTTCTAGATTTTCATTGATTTCTCAGTGTTTTTCAAAGTTGTTATTGAAAAAATTTAGAAATCAATGAAACTCAAAGACTATTTAGTCATCGAAAATTCTTTGTTCCATTCAACAAAAAAATCAAAGAAATATGCAGATTTTCATGCTCTGTCTTTCTAACCTATTGAAATTGTAATCTAACGGGGATGGTAGATTTACGATCTTATGTGGCGGTATCCTCTGGATACTTCTCGATTTCTTACACAAAGTCTAGAACAACTGTTACGATGCTCTAAATTCATCTAGAGAAGACAGTAACATTTTCTTTATTTTTTTCTGTTGTGGTACTGATATTGTACATATCTTGCGATGGAGGGCATTGTATTATAATGAAAAATGATTAGATATATATATACAAATCAAATTAAATCTTTCTCTACCAAGCCAACTTACTTAAAATATAAGGTATTCTTGGCATGCATGAACTGAAACTGAGATATTCAATTTTTTAATGAATGTTTAGTGCATGTTCGGTACCCACAATTCAAAATCTCAGCATATTTTTATTCTTTTTTCGTTTTACTTAGATAGACCTCGTCAAGTAGCATAATAGAAAATGTCTTTTCAAATGTTAAAAAACAATTTAATGAAAGTCAGAATTTCGTGTCTATTTTCTCTTATATTTAAAATAACAGTATCTTGAACTTTTCCCATAAAATCGATTTTCAAAATTTCAAATATATTTTGTCGAACTCACATATATTTTTGAAGAAAATAGTGAATGTAAGTTTTAAGTTCAAGTTTTTGTGGGTCCATCCCTCCGCACCTCCCCCCCCTCCCCTTCCATTACAGACATTAGCAACTAGTTTTGAATTTTCTCGAGTATTCTATCCTATGGATAGTATGTGAGTTCCACATTTCAGCCTCAAAGAGGCTCCACTCAACAAGACCAACGAAAAGAAAATAGTCCTGAGCTTTTGAAATGTGGGTACCGAACATGAGTTGTATTTATTAATTTTTTCATTGATTATTCACTTTTTCATTCTGACAACTATTCAGAGCACAAAAGCATTTAAAATCGATGAAATTCGATTTGTTTTAAATTTTGCAGTAGGTAGTAAAAGAGATTAAAGCTCTATGCTATGAAATAATAACAAATTTCCTTTTTGATGACTTACAATATATTCGTATGTTTATTCGGCAAGTTCTTGTAATTATAAGTGGATGATATTTATTGACCTTTTGAATATTAGAAGAAGATAAAATTTACAAAATACTATTTAAGGCTATCAGTACTAAATTCCGTTTAAAAAAGAATGCTTTTTTCGTTTTCCGTACGAAGAAGAATTTGTTCTTTAACTCATACAGTTATTCTAGTTATCACAGACTCAAAATCGTCGATATTTTCGCTGTTATTTTAAGAAAACTAGATTTGATATGCTCATAGGGAATTGAAGTGAAATTGATTGGAGTTAGTGCAAGATCTAAGTAAGCATCCATTTCTCTTGTTAGCCCACTGATCACCCCCTTCGATATGTTTTGGAGAGTAGCAAGGAAAAAAATTAAATAATTAGTCTTTGTCTATGAAAATCGAAAACGACTTAATTTTTTGCAGAAGTCAAAAGTGAATCTATTCCAGTATTGGTGAATTTTATCTTGATGAATAAAAGAATTGAAACGTATCTCTCATTATAAAAGACAAAATAGGCTTCTTTTTTTTTGTTAATGCTTTTTTATTATTTAGTGGCTGTTCCACTGGAAAGGGCGCACAACTGTGTTCAACATAGAGAGTTCAGCGATTCATAAATATAACAATTGAAAACAAAGATAAAAAAGAGAAAGGATAAACAACCATGTGAAGTATGCCACCAGACGAAATACTTAGACAGAAAGAGCCATTGAAACATTAAAAAGCAACGAAAATGAAAAGAAAATAAAAAAGAGAAAAAAACGGGAGAGGAGAAATAGGCAAACTAACATACTCATCAAGAATGATACGAATAGCTTTTATTCATAATGACAGTAAGCACAACCGGTAGCTAAATAAATGAATGTGTGATTGATTGATTGATTGATTGATTATCTTTTCCTTTTCGCGATGTCTACGGCAGAAAAGAACAAAAATATAGCAAATAATCAATGTTGATGACTAACAGAAACACATAATTAAATGATGTTTAATAACGTCATTGAATAAATATGTTTATTTAAACACTGTGAAATAGAAGATTCAACTATTTGCAACTTCTATAATCACTATAAATTACAGCACTTTTTCTCAATAACGAATTATTTTTGATACTTCTACACGATACATACCCTCCACACTCTGTGTTGTATGTGATTGAATTAGATATGTATATCGTATAGAAGAACCTTATTTCTATCTATCTTTTATATCGAAATTAATTTATATTTTACTTGTTATTGATTAATAATGCATGCATCATAATGTAAAGCATGATTAGTTCTGTATGATCACACCTATTTGATTTGCTTTCGATTATATGCACCATAGAACTGCTTGTTTGTTAAAAAGAACCTCAATATGCCTTATAGATCGTAGATACTCTAAGATAAATATCGAATACGTACATGAATGTCCTTTAAAAAATGTCCTAGAAAAAATGTCCCCGAGTTTTTGTCCTCGGTGAAAATGTCCTCCGAAATTTTGTCCTTTAAAAGATGTCTTCGAATAAAATTTCCTTCGGAAAAATATCCTTCAAAAAAAGTTCCTCATGTAAAAATGTCCTTCACTTTGAGTCTGATGTATAAAATGAAATTGGGTAAAGATGCAGATGACGCTGTAGTAAGAAAATGTTAGTAACTATATCACTTTCATAGAGGATAAGTTGAGAGCTG